ATTCATTAATAATAATTTTTTAAATGAAACTTGAAATCTCTAAAAACTAAAAATTTTAACTTCTGTCGCAATTTTTATTATTTTTCATTGCTGATTTTTTTATAGACTTTTTTCATGATTCTGAACAATCAACCGTATGGATATTGAAAAAATTCAATTTTTTCAAAAAATAAAATTTCTGAAAAATAAAAAAAAATTGTACAATTTTTAAAAATTACTTTTTTTATTTTTCATAGTGTAAAATATGCTTTCAGAATCTAAAAAAATTTTTAAAAAATTATTACCCTCAAAATATCGTTTAAAATTACGAAATTGAAGAATTCGACTTTATCTGCAAAGTGACATCTATTAGATGGCATTTAAACTCCTTGGTTCGGAGTTACGTGTTTCATGTGATAATTATATCGATATGGTTTGTCGACAAATAATTATCAATTTTTGAATTAATTTTGATCTGAAAAAATAAGCTGCGTGCTCGAGTACACTGTGCATTTGTGAGGACTCGAACCTCCTAAGTTGCTGCCTAACGCGGGACTTCTGCCGACTAATGCACCATGCCAACACAGCCTGAACGACTAAGCCTCATATTCTCAGATCAAGCCCATAACTAGTCAAGAGCTGTAGTTAATGTTAGGTATATTTTATATAGAAATACTATATTTTTCGACTTTATCAGCAAAGTGACATCTATTAGATGTCACTTTGCTAATAAAGTCGAATTCTTCAATTTCGTAATTTTCAAAAAATCTTAATCAGCGAAAAATATAGTATTTCTATATAAAATATACCTAATATGTTTGGTTTAAATTTTATCAATTATTCTTTAAAAATTCAACTTCTACAAATTTTATTATTTTTTATTGGTAATTTTTTTGTAGGCTTTTTTCATGATTCTGAACAATCAATAGTGTGGATTTAAAATTTTTTTAATATTATCAAAAAATAAAATTTCCAAAATGGTCAAAAATTTTTTTTTTTAATTTTGATAATTCACAATAATTTTAGATCCTAAATAATGCCAGAAAAAAATTGACACCCCTTAACAATATTAGGGTGATTCTCAGCGTAGCGCACACTTTGGTGTCTGAAACTTTAAAAATATTTTTTTATCGAAATGATAAATATCAATACATATTTTTGAAGATAAAGTGTCAAGAAATGAATATCCATGGTGGGCCAGAAAAATTGTTTATAAGTTTTTAATTTTTTAAAACAAATTAAAAAAAAATACTTTGCTTTTTGAATTTTATAAAATAGTTCTTTTTTTAAATATTGAAGGGTCGGTGGATGCCGATGGAGACGATTTTGTGATGCCCTGTAAAAGATTTGAATCTTGAAATGTGTAAATAAAGGATAAATCAATTAGAAAATTGATTAGTTTCTTCATGGATCAACTTAAGGAATGTAACTTTTGCTGTTACTGAAGTATAGAACTATGTTAACATTTAACTTGTATTTAAATAATTCAATGTTCAATAATAAAACGTAGAATATAACACACGAAAGTCCAGTGAAGCATAAAAAGCAAAAAGAAAAAATTATTATTTTTTTGATTAAACGTTTTTTTTATTCAATTCCACTAAAATATACAATACTAAAACAGTAATTGTATTTATTAGTGCACGTTGCTAAAAATATTAACTTTTTTGTTTAAACATCCTGTGGGGACAGGTCAAATTTTGACGTTTTCAGCCTTAAAAACCACGTTTCACGAAAAATTATAATGTTAGATACAAAAGTAACTATTGGTTTTTGTTTGTAATCACAGGAATTACCTTTTTACATTGGAATCGAAGTAATAGTGAACATTATTTGTGATTATTCTTTCACAACATGAAAAAAATCAAGTTGTGCGCTACGCGGAGAATCACCCATTAATTTCGAAGAGTTGAAATTTCACTGGTCTCTAAAAGTAATTATTTAGCATTTCACATTACATTAATGCATAAAATAACTTTAACAGGTTTTAATGGATTTAGATAAAATTTGGTAGGCTCATTTATCATATTAATATCTCAAATCTGACCAAAGGATTTTAAAAAATACCCAAAAAAAAATTTTATCGTCTTTTTTCCAAAAAATTTTTTTTAATCGAAAAAAATTTTAAATAGAAAAATTTAAGGTTATATATAATAAAATCGTATTCCTTACGTGAAGACAAATCGATCGGTATATATAAAGTATAATTTAAATTTAAATTTAAAGATTTAATGAAAGTTAAAAAATCAAAAATTCACATTTCGACGCTTCCCATTCATATAATGCTTATTGAAACTGCAATGCAATAGAAGTCTTATTCAAATTTTCGTGCCATATAATCTTATTGAAAGTTCAGTGCTATATAATTCTTATTCAAGTTTCCGTGCAATACAATAATTGTATTGAATAAGAATTATATAGCACTGAACTTTCAATAAGACTTATATTGCATTGCAGTTTCAATAAGCATTATATGAACGGGAGGCGTCGATTTTGGCTATAAAATTTTGTGATTATTTAAATTTAAGTTTATAGATGAAATAATTGTATTCCTTACATGAAAACGAATTGATTGGTATATATAAAATTTACATTTGAGGTAAATTTAATAAATTAATGAAAGTTAAAAAATAGAAAATACACATATTTTAGCTGAAAAATGTATTTATTTAAATTCAAGTTTAAAAATAAAATAATTGTGTTCCTTGCATTAAAACGAATCGATATAATTGTAAATAATTATAAATTATGTAGTATTTTTCATTAATATTTAGAAATTTCGGTTAAAATATGAATTTTTGATTTTTTAACTTCCATTAATTTTTTAAATTTAACTCAAATGTTTATATTATTATATTATTTTTGTATGTTTATTTCAATGTTAATGCTTTCTCCACGAGGAAGCAAATTTTTTTTGCTGATAGTAAAGAGGAAGCACAATGTTCATGTAATAAAAATCTGAATTTAGAACTTGTTTTTAATTGTAGTTAATTTATTATATTACAATATCTAATATTCAAGTGATATGATAAATATTGTGTTGTGGGTTGTGTTTTTATTTATTGAATTAATAAATTAAATTAATCCATATAATTTTTTATAACACGAATCATATGATTATTCTTATTATGTTTAATAATGAAAACTTTGTTTTCCATATGAATAAGAAAATTTTAATTTATATAGACAAAAGAAAGGATTTTTAAAAAATCCTTAAAGTAACCCAGTAAACGAAAAAGGATTGACGTGAATTGCATTGAATTAACGAAGAGCTTTGGTGGATCCCGTTTAGCGATAAATACTAATTGGAGCTATGTTGCAATTCTCCTGAATTCGACAAGCCTCTATTGAATTGACGAACCCTCAATTCGTTCGATTGCAGTGAAGTAGTTTTCTAAGCTTTAATTCTTTCTAATTCGTCTGCACGAATTCAATAAATGCGTTAGTGAATACGTTTGAATTCCTGAATTTGATCACTTTAGTTCGCTAAACGCCACTTCGCGAACATCACTCTTTCTTGCAGTTGAGGTGCCACTAGATTTGTATATATGTGACTCTACACGACAAAAAGCACCTTAGCTCCCAAAAAATTAATTTTCAGTTTTATATGCGAATCGGTAGTACTTAAGTTGCTCCTTCATATACAAAAGTCAAAAATTGTATTTTTTTAATTACTTTTTTTGTAATAAAGCTTCAAACATGACCATGTCAATCGCGTTCTACCACAGACTACGGAAACCATCCCCACCACCTCTACTACTAGTATACTTGTCATATCCGTGAGCTGGAGGAACGATGTAGTAGTAAGGTAGTGGGGCTGATTTTCGCTGGCGCGTCTCAGCCAATCAGGACGCTCGACTTTAAACGCCTTTCCTGTAAAATTCTGTTTTGATAGCTAAGGGGCTTTTTGTCGTATAGCGTCACATATGTATAAGAAGTGAACTAAAACTTTTTTCTCGTTAAAATATTTTTCTGCCCGACGTCTCTCCTATTTATTAGGATGTGAGACAAACATTGTTTTTGTGATATCTTTAGAATTAAGAGAAAAAGTATAGACAAACATTCGTATATCATTAAAAAAATATTGATTTTTTAAAGCATAATTACTGCATAATTGTATGCGATTTTAGCGCATAATCATGGTGTTTCAAAATACATAAAGTTACCATCTTTAGGTATAACCTATTCTTTAGGATGTCTACTTTATAAAAAATTTTAGTTTGTAGTGCAAACTTTTTACTTTTTGAAAAAAGCATCGTTTTTAAGATTCGACATATTGGCCGCCATTTAAAAATTTCTTAAAAATAAAATATATTTTTTAAAAGTTCAAAGATGTATCTGTATTTATAAAAAAAACTAGATCGATAAGTTATAACTGTTCTCCGCAAAAAAGAAATCGGAGAGTAGACTCTTCAATCTCAATGGATTCGTAATGAAAAACTGCATCTTACTATCGTAATTAAAATTAAAAAATTTAATTATTTATAAGAAATTAACGTTGAAAATATTTTAATTCTTTCGTAAAATGAGAAAATACTACGGAAAAAGACATGAAGTACTTTGCGTAGCAAAAATCTGCAGAAGGCAGATACACACAGTTTTTTATGTGTATAAATTCAACTTTACAGGTACGTATTGAAGCAGAAATAATGACAAAAAAATCCGGTTTTTAAAAAAAGTTAATTTGTTTTTATCATTATTTTTAAAAAATTTCATACTAAATTCAGCATTTATAAATGTTACCAATTAAAAGTTAATTTGTTCTTTAAATAAATATAAAATAATTCCTAGGGAGGGGGTAAGAGAATTCTGAAAACCAGGAAATGTCAGAGAAATTTTTTTCATGCTAGTTGTTGAGTGTTATTGAGAGCATACAAAAAAGTGAAGTTGATAATTGAAAATTGGTAAGACAGGAATTTGGGTGGTCTTCGTTACTATACTGCATGCCAAAATAATCGAGGACAAAATACTTGTAATAAAATCTGCTACACGCCATGGACTAAATAACAAATATGCAAAAATAAATATCATATTTTGTAGATGTTTATTTTATTAAACTTTAGGTGTATCATTAGTTTAATCATCTTTCTTGGTGTCAGTTTTGCCTCCTCGAATTCGTCCCGTACGACGGGCAGCGATGAGACCAATTTTCCGACCAGCACTTGTTCCTCGCTTGACAGTAGAGGCCTTTCCAATATGTTGGTGATTACCACCACCATGAGGATGTTCAACGGGGTTCATAGCAACACCACGCACCTATAATTAAAATTGACTAATTATTGATACATTCCATGAAAACGAAAAATTTCGTTAGTTTGCTATTTCTTCTCAGTATGAAAATTTGTCAACATATTGACTCAGGTTTCAAATGTCTGTACCATCATAGAAAGTTAAGTTCTAACACTAAAATGTAGTGAATTGTATTTTAACTTATGAATTTGGTTAATCTAATTAATCCCTTAATATTCAGCAAGTGTATAAGAAAATATGAGGCTGTTTTCATCGCAGAGGATAAACTAGGCATAGATAAACTACTTCATTCAGCTTAATTTATCCATTTCCTACTTTATCCTTCGCGATGAAAACAGCTTTTACAAATCTTAGAATTTTTTTCATTTAATGATAGAACGTCCAAGCGCCCGTCCTGCCGGAAGGCTTTTTTGGATGGCCCTATATATATGAGGGTGGTAAAAAGGGAACTCAAAATTTTTTTCTGTCACCCTTTCCTATTAAAGTAGACGTAAAAACGAAAAAATTCATGCGTTAGACTTTAAAAAAAAATAATATTAAACCATGTTTCGAAGCGTTCAAACTTTGCATGTTTGCTCAAGCCAAAAAAACAGTTTTTCGTAAATTCACTGTAAAATCTACAAAAACCAATATTTTTAGGTCTAACTACTCTCATTTTCTTCTGAAGCCTTCAAAGAATAGAATGTGATAGTTTATTTTTAAAAAAATTCAGTTTAAATATTTTTCTGGATTCGTCAAAAAAACCCTATAAAAACGTCCTTTTTCTTTGAATTCCCTAACCTAGGGATTTTAATTTACAAACTTTATGTTTACATGCGCTAAAAGCTTGTGTTTTTACCTTTCCAACGATATATTTTACTTTTGGATTATCTGAATCCATGTTAATTTTATAAAGCGATTTCGGGGAGACTCACGTGAGTCTTTTTCATCCTGCCGGAAGGCTGTTGGACGTTCTATCATTAAGGTATGGAAATGGAATTAATAGAAAAATATAAAAAAAGTTTTAGTAGGGGTATCCGTGCTAATTTTTGAATTACAACGTTTTGAAGTAGAAAGTAAGGTTATTTATAGATTTTTCAAGAGTCAAGTATATTACTCGCTTGAGAAAGAGAGAGAAAACACGACTGTGAGTGACTATACACCGCAGTGAGAAGAGAAACATTCTCATGCGAAAGTGAGAAACTTTTCTCCTCTATGAGTGAGTAGAATCAAGGTTGCCAACCTAGGAGACGTGTTGGTAAGGTAGGTATTGAATAGTTTCTCAAGAAAAAGTTAAATACCTACCTTACCAACACGTCTTCTAGGTTGGCAACCTTGATTCTACTCACTCATAGAGGAGAAAAGTTTCTCACTTTCGCATGAGAATGTTTCTCTTCTCACTGCGGTGTATAGTCACTCTGTGAAGTGAGCTGTTGATTAGTATAATCTAGTCGCAAGGAACTGAGAACTGGAGCCGGAGATATACCTTAATATGTACACTCGATTCTGAGTATAAGCGACGGTACCGTTTAAATCGAGAACGTGAATTCGCAAAAGCGTCCACACTCCTGCATATAAAAGCTCGAGTATGCACATCACTCTCCTTACCGCGCCTAAGTTTATGACTCCGAGAATTGTTTAAACCTAATAAACTCAAACCCAGAATCGAGTGTAAATAAATTAAGGGTATGTGGGAAAAGGACATTTTCTGTAGTTTGAAACTTTCTCTGAAATAAAGAATGGTTTCGGTTTAAAATTTTCGAGCATTGATAAAGGAGGGTACAGGGAATATTGCTGTTCTACTCATTTACTATGAGTGACACTCCACGAGAAAAGGGACCTTATGCGACAAAAAATTAATTTCCTGTTTTATATGCGAATCGATAGTATTTGAGTTGCTCTTTCATATTGGGATCTGAAATACTGCGATACGCCATCTGGTGAGAGCCTTGTTGTGGTGGCCATGTTTTCATTCCGTGTTTCTCTAACATATACAAAAGAAAGAGATAAAAAACCAAGATGGTTGTCACAAGAAGGCTCAGGGGTGGGTCAGTTTCGCGTGATTTCTGATCCCAATAGAAATGTCAAAAATAATATTTTTCTAATTACTTTTTTGTAATAAAGCTTTAAACATGACCATGTCAATCGCGTTCCAGCACGGACTACGGAAACCACTACGACTAGTATACTTGTTGTATCCGTGAGACGTAGGAATGATGTAGTAGTAAGGTAGTGGGGCTGATTTCCGCTGGCGCGTCTCAGCCAATCAGAACGTTCGACTTTAAACGCCTTTCCTGTATAATTCTGTTTTGTCGCATAAGGTCCCCTTTCTCGTGGAGCGTCACATTATAACTTAACGCAAAAATAAGGCAATAAATAGTAAACTAATGTTGTATTTTTTCTCAGTTCATTTAGGTCATGTGGGAGTTAAGATAAAAATAGGAGTGCTAAAATTACCTTGGGCCAACAGTTCCTCTTGACCTTGTATTTGTGATAGGCTCTACCTGCTTTCAAAATCGGTTTGTCGATACGTCCACCTCCCGCAACTATTCCGACCATAGCTCTGTTGTTGGATGGAATGACTTTTTTAGCACCAGATGGCAATTTTACTCTGGTTTTTTTTGTATCATGGTTGTGTGAAATAACTGTTGCGTAATTACCAGATGCACGAGCCAATCTTCCTCGATCACCAGTTTTTTCTTCTAAATTACAAACGATAGCTCCCTCAGGCATTTGTCCGACAGGCATCACATTACCAATTTGAAGGCTTGCTATTAATACAATATAGAATTAAATCTTAAAAATGACTCAGTGTTGAAGAGACTAGGAATGGTTGTGGCAATGAATAATAACAAAAATCTCAATAATTAACAAAAATTAATGTTTTTTTAGTGAACTTTAGCAAATTTTCTATAAAAATGATAATACTTTCAAAATATATAAACAGATTGTACTCAATACTTTCTACTGTTTATAAAAAAACTAAATATTTATTGAAAACGCGTAAAATAATTTAAATAAAGAGTGAAAGGATAAAAAAATTTCTTATTTAGACTTCCATCAGTTGCATTGAATTTTATAATGTGGTGTTAGGTGTAGGTGAACATAACATTATTAACATAGCAACATATAAAAAATATTTAAGAATCCGACAACTATTTTATAATTTATAAAAGAGTGCTATGAAAGACACTGAAATTGAGCTCCAGCGTGCAACAACAACCGCAATACGTACTTCGAGTTGCGGGGTAGAAATTAGACAGGGCCAATAAGGAGACTAGATTCTATCTCCCTCTACGCAACTCGAAGTAGATAATGCGGTTGCGACAGACAGTCAAAACATGGTCCATGTGTAACTGTTGTTATTGCGGGCTATCATCGATTCCGTCCCGTGAGGAGAAGTAGCCTACCACTCCACCACCAAGAATGGATTCTCACCCGTATCTTAAGCCGAACTCAGGACTGGCAGTGCGATCGAGGTGTCGCATAAAACTGCCTGTAATTTTCATTGTATGAAAAAAGACGAATAGAAAAGAAAGCTTTGGAGAAAATGAAAGTTTTGTTGCAATTAAGGCAATTAGTACAGTCATCACTCCTCAGGCGCATGATACTTTGTGAGTTCATACTCCCGTGGTACATCATTGATATCAAATCAAAGACATATGCACATCGCAGTTAAACTGCAGAAGGCAAATGAATCGGTACATAACTGCCTCATTCTGATCATTAATAAAATTGAAATCGAAACATTAATTATTACTTATTGAAAAGTTATGCATTTTTTTTAAATTACAGCAACAAAACATTCAATATCAACATCCTAAAAATAAAATATATTTATTAAAGGCCGTAGTACTGATATACGGCCCCACAGTCATAAGACACATAAACACAATCATTAATACCATACAATGATCAACCGGAAGTAAAATCAATCGACTTCAAAACTGGTCGCGACTGCGTGAGGGTAAACCCTCCACAGCCGTCTGCACACCCGCCTCGAAGTCAATCTATTTTACTCCCGATGATACATTAATTTCTTTTCTATCTCTAAGCCTAAAAAAATAATAAAAATAGAAAGAATTTGATTTTTAAAAAATTATGACAACTAATGATCAACCGGAAGTAAATTCAATTGACTCTAAAACTGGTCGCGACTACGTGAGGGTAAATGAAAATAATATTGGATTTTAACATTTTTATGTGAAGTAACATATGCCTGAAATCACTAGAAAACAAGGAGTTCAAATTTAATAACAAAAAATAAAAAATGTAAATATTTAATAATGTTATATTTTGTCAAAGAAAGTCATTAAGAAACTCCTTAATGACGGATTAGACGCCCTTTGCTGCGAGGGTCGTATGAGCATTCATAGTCCCCGAACTGCCGGACGCTTGTGGGTCGCATGGTGGGGGAAGGTCGCTTCCCCTCACAGGACGCAATCGATGAATGCCCTTGGGTGAGAAGTTTCTTACCCTGCGACTGACTGACAGAAATATTACTAATATTACTACATTATTAATATTATTTACAGAAAGCTGTAGAAACTGTATAAGATTTTCTCAAAATTGTTACAACTATCCTTGATCTCCCCTATATTGCTAATACAATATTAATTAAAACATTTAAATAATAAAAACTGAAATATGAAATATTTACCTTTTTTCCCACAATACAAAAATTGGCCAGTATACATTCCTTCTGGAGCAATAAAAAGTTCTTTACGTGTTTTAAACTTGTAAGGATCTCGAAAATGTACCATTGCCAATGGAGCTCCTCTGCCAGGGTCGTGAATAATGTCCTGCGAAAGAAAATAATAGAAATTACAATCACATTTATTTTAAAATTAATTTACTTAATATAATATATTCTTTTCAGAAAGAGCCTCTAGTAATAAATCTTCATTCAATTTCAGAAGTAAATATACTAGAATTCATCATATTTTGTTTGCAGAGAAATTAGGGAAGGTCAGTTATTGTAAGTATTACACTTTTTGTTAAGAAACATATTATTTACTCGAAATAATGAGTAAAAGTAATAGAAATATTCAAGTACTGTAATGGAAACAAAGTACGTGAAAAAATAGTTGAATTTGCTTGAAAATTTTCTTAAAATCGTATCATTAAATTTGGTCTATTTGTTCTAGAGATATTAGGTTTTGACAAAGAAATAGAGAAAATTGTATACTGTGGGCCTTGGGGATTATAGCTTTAGTTTTAAAGTTAGATACGCTAGGTTAGATATGTTTGCATCGTGTTACCGTTAAATTAATTTAATTGTGCGATAATTGTATAAGGTGATTTGTGTATTTTTAAATGACTCATTCTTTTAAAAAGCCACCCAAAAATTTTTTTTTGGCAATAAAATATATTAAAGTATACATAAAAACAAATGAAGGGTAGAATGACAAAAGGGGTCAAGCGCCAATTCACTGTTTTTACAGGAAGTAAAAAAAACATTTTTAAAAATTTTGCAGGTCATTTAAAAAAAAACTGAGAAAACCGTTTTGATATATTAGTATGTTTTAATAAATAAACAACAATTTGTTGAAATAAACCTACATATTAACGATAAAATTAAAAAAAACTGTGGTGCCTTGAGGTTATATCAACTGCGCACATTTTCTTTAAGCATTAATTATAAAAAAAATATACAGTTTAAAGAAAAACTGCAAAATTAGTTTCATTCTATGGAATCGACGAAATGAATAGAAAAAAAAATTCCTTTAAAAAATTGTTTGTTTTCAAGAAAATTACGAATTAATTGCTTGCTTTGGAATTGAGCAATACTTTCATCTTTAAATTCAATTGTTCACTTAGTATAATCATAAAAATATTTAAAAATTAATAACAAAATGATTTTAAAATTGTTTAAAATTGAAAATATATTATTATTATTATTAATTTTATTAATTAAAGTATTATTAAAATAAAATTAAAATAAAATATTAAAATAAAACCTAAAAAAAAAAATATTTTTGATCAAAATTGAACAGATGGATAAAAATGTGAAGAATGAAATTCATAAAAACATTTCACCTTCATATCGTTTCTTTTTAACAATATCTTTTTTATTCATAGATTTTTTTCCGCATCTGCGAGGCATTTTCGATTTGTAAAAAGCAATGTTTTTAAATTTGTTTAGTTATGCATAATATTATTGACTCACCACTTTCTTTTGTTTTTCAATCAGGTTCCAATAAAGTAAATTTGAGGCTATTTTATTAATTTAATTTTTATTAAAAACTTATTTAAATACGCAATAAAAAAGGAAATCCTTCTACAGAAATGTGTAAATGAATTTTCTTGATTTTTTTTATGCAAAAACCTCATTTTCGATAAATTGGCGCTTGACCCCTTTTGTCATTCTACCCTTCAAATATATAGGGTAGGTTTTTAGGTCTGTAATGCGTGGTTGCTATGTTATCAGGGGCTCATTTTTTTGCAGCATAATTTTCAAATGGCAATAATTTTTACCCGGATCAATGGATTTATATGTCTTACAATCATTTTTTGTAGACAATTTTCTAAACTTTCAAAGTAAATAATTTATTTTTTCAAAATGTTTATTGTTTATTATTGTGAGACAGCAAAGTACGTACTTTTTGAGAAAAACGCGTTTAAAGTTTTACTAGTAATTAAAATAGACTTCTGGAGTTTACTTTGAGTCTTGATAGAGAGTAGACGTGTTTGTGTTCGTTCCGTCAACAAATTATCGTTATTGTACGATTTTGGTTTCTTAATATTGTGTAGTCTTATTAAATTGGATTTAAGAGTGAGGTCACTTTTTGTGCAGGGTGAATATTAAACACTAAGTGCATTTTGCGTGCGGAGTGGTACGAAAATCATAGTGACAATACCCGAAAATTTGATTTTTATGGTGAAAACAGTAGAAAAGTCTCAAAATTTATGGTTTTTTTCGTTGATTGGGTAAAATATGCAAAATTAAAAAAAATGCATAAGATATAAAAAATGTAATTTAATATGATGTATAACTTTTGTCTGAAAGTTTTTTTTAATTTTGCATATTTTATCTAATAAACGAAAAAAACCATAAATTTGGTGACTTTTTTTTATGGTTTTCACCATAAAAATCAAATTTTCGGGTATTGTCACTATGATTTTCGTAATCAGCGCATCAAAATACATAAAAGTACGTAATATAAAAAAAACCAAAAATATTTTTAAAAAATTCCGAAAATATTGTAAAAATTGTTTGCTCATTATCGGGTTAGGCTTAAAAGTTTCGTAAAAAGTAGGTTTTTTTGAAAAAATTTTGAAAAAAATCGATCAGTATGTCAAATGAGAAAAATGACTTTTTATCATTAAAACTCAAAAATTTAATAGTAATATCGTTTTAAATTTTTTTTTTTTTTTTTTTTTTTGAAAATTACGTTTAAAAACACACATTTTGAAAAAAAGGACTTTTAAAATTGATGCATTTTTAAGGAAGTTATGAGCATTCAAAAATTACAAGTCATGAAAATTCTCCAATTTTCAAAATTCCACAATTCGAAAATGGCTTGCTAAAAAAATTTGAAAAAATTCATGAAAGCTAGTCTCAATTAGTACTAAAAGAAAAAAAAATCTCAAAAAAATCGGAGATGCATTTGCAATTGGACTTTCACTTTGGCGTGGAATACATCTTATATAAAACAATTAGTTTGAAAGTTAATGTTCTAAATACCTCAAAACACATTTCAGATTTTCTTTAAATTCATCTAAAAATAAAACTTAAATATCCTACTTTTTATTTCCCTAAAGAGCTTAATGGACATTTGAGAGTATTTTGAAAAATTAATTAAAAGTCACTGGCATTAAAAAGATTAAAGTATTTGTAAATTGAAATCCACTTTTTAAATAGAGCGAAATTTTTTTTTATTTACTCGTTTACAAGTCTTAAATTATTTCTTTAAAATCAGAAAAAATAACAAATATTTTGAACAAATGAAATATTTAAAGTATAAATTTAATAAAAAAGAAACATTATTTTAAGAATATCTTAAATATCATGAAATTATAAAATTCTTTATTTTCCAATTTTTTATTAACCAGGGTGTCTAACAAGGAGGGGCGCATGATTATCTCATAAAAATCATTAGCTAGAATTTTCATTTGTATGAATTTCATTTGATAGAATTTCTATTTAGACGAATTAGTATTTGAATTAATTTTTTTTTAAACGAAATGTTATTTAACATAGTTTTTAGAAACCGAATTTTAATTTAATATAATTTTTATTTTCCAAATTTATTGTTATCCAATTTTTTATTTGATAGAATTACAATTTAAACCAATTTTAATTTATCAAAATTTTCATTCAGCAGAATTTTAGTGATTTGAATTGTATAATGTCAGAATTTTTAAACTATCGAATCTCCATGTGTCAGAATTTTTCAATTTTTATATTTACACGAATTTTTATTTGATAGAATCCCTAAAACAGAGAATTTCCATTTGATAGAAATTAGAAATGGCCGAACAAGCAATTCGAATAACTATATTTATATTTATATTGGATATTCATGCGCCCCAACAAGGATTGAGAAAAAAATTCCCTGATTCCTCCCTGACTTTTTAATAACCTTATTTCTGCTTTCTTTGGACAAAAATACGGTTACTGACATATTTAACAATTAATTTTAAATGATAGTAACAAATGGTAATAAAACCATTGAAGTTTTTTTAGATTAAAAAATTTTTAAATTCACAAAAAATTTTAATTTTTGTAGAAATTTACAGAAATTTCCCTAACCGTTAGACACCCTGTTAACAAATGCTGCTCTGTCCAATAAGTATACTTCTCAATTCATACATATTTTATCTCTAAAAAGCAAGTGAATTTTAATTAATTTCTCAAAATCCTTTGAGATATTTGAAAGCTTAACATTCAAACGAACGTTTGTATATAAATTATCTTTACCATAATAAAGTTTAAAATTTTCTCCATCGAAACTGCTAATAACAAAGGTAATTCGATTTTACTAAATGAGATAAATATTTATTTGACAATTGTTTATAGAACACTCTTTTAAATATTACTTGTGAATATCTTTAAAAATATAGAAATATAAATGGATCTAATTAGAGTAATAAAAATAAACATTGAAATGTAAAATAGAAGCAGTGAATTAATATTAATTATAAGAGATACAAACCTTTACAACTCCTTTAATGTAGCCATGTCTTTCAGAGAAGTCTAAAGAACGAAGTTTGGCTGCTCCTTTCCTTTTCTTAGTATGAGATCGAAAAACAGAGCCAGCTCCTTTACGTTGAGCACGTATAACTCGACCCATGATTCAACTTCTGCACCAAAAACAATTTCTGTTATAAATGATTCAAACTATATTTACAACCCATAAAATAGCTACATGTGAATATTAACCCTACACAAAAGCATCGCACATTTTTACTAAAATACGTCAACCTTTTTACTAAAAATCTCTATCTATTGAAATTAATAAAAAAAATCAATTAAATAACAAAAAATAAAGCACATGTCTCTCAGACTTGTTTTTCTTTGCCCTACTAGAAAATATAATTAGCTTTTAGGGGTTAACGATATCGACAACATGCAATATAACCTCCACTTCTAAACAAATTTTTCACTTCATTATTTAAAGTAAAATAAGATTAAAACTATGATAACCAGTCGTTTAAACGACTCACAATGTACAAGAATAAAAAAATTTCATAAGAAAAGCAGAAAAATACACTAAGATTATAATAGATTACAAAAATTAAAAACAGCACTAAACATATCATACCGACTTGAAGAATCAATTTTACGGAAAAGGGAATAATTTTCAGGAAGTGCCGATTCGTTGGAAGATCAGGGATAGGAATACTAAGACCAACTTGAGTGATGTCAGGGCTAGGAAATCTTTAAGCTGCTTCCACAACAACTTTTTTTCATTGGTTGGGCTGTTTCCGAATTGAGGGTTTTAAGGTTTTTCTGCGGAAGCTTCTACGCGCCACCTCGTAACGAGGCGAAACCAACTTATGCTCGTTTCTACGGAAGCCTGTACGGCTCACGAGCGTCTCGGACGCAAGTGGCGGTGTTTCGTACCACAAGTGGCACGAAGTCCGTCCAACTTGTGGCAAGTTCGTTTGTTCGTGCCACTTGTTGGACAGACTCCGTGCCACTTGTGGAAAGTGGATTTTTTGAAGGGTCATTCACAAATATGACAATTCCGTTGGATCCTGTTGCCGTCTATTTCGTCAGTGCTTTTTATTTCAAGTATTGGGATGTCGGTTACTGTGAAGCGCTCTCTGTTGGAAAAATTTTTAACCCTTGAAAGTAGGATGTTTGTCAATTTTTGTCCAGTTTAAACCAATCAGAGTAACTTTCAGACATAGTGGTGAAAAATAGTACTACTGAACGTAGGATAAAATGCTAAGCCACGCCCCCAGCGGAATTTCATCCGGGCAAGTCCGTTTAATGTCTTTGAATAAAAATGAATTTGTTATTTTTTAATTGAAAATACATGTAAAAGATTACATTTCAGTGTAAACAAATGATATTGAAATCTTTATTAATCTTAAATATTCATAAAAATATACTTTTGATTTTAAGAAATAAAATCCTCTTCATGTATTTTAAATTAAAAAATGACAACATAACCAAAAAATCTTATTTTTATTCTAAACTAAGAAAAATTAAAAAAAACTAAGAAAAAACTTCCGCTTAATTCTTAGTGGAATCCTTAGTTTATTAATATGTACATTTACGTTTGGAAGGAGTATTTATGTGTGAACTATAAAAAGTTTGTTCGATGACATTTACGAACTAACGAACTTGCCACAAGTTGGACGGACTTCGTACCACTTGTGGTACGAAACACCACCACTTGCGTCCGAGACGCTCGTGAGCCGCACAGGCTTCCGTAGGAATGCTGTCTGCCATTGAAAGTCGCAAACCGAAAGAGAGGTCTGATTTTTGTATTCCCCTCTTTGTCGGTACAGGTCCATTAGAAAATATTTAACAGTATGTATACGTGAATAAGACATAACACAGTTAACAGTTAGTAACATTTAGGATCGTATTGTACTACGCCTGCGCAGTTTAGCAAGAGAAGGAGAGGGATACATAAATCAGCCCTCTCTCTCTCTCTCTGCTCGCGACCATTAGGCTGTGTCAGTTCATCGAGATATTTCGAGTTCAAGATATGACGTCAGAGGCTTGGAGGGACAACAAACAGACGACACAATTTTATTCTTATGGGAAAGAAAATTTGTTCCCACTCTTATAAATTTTATTCATATTTTAAACATGAAAAACGCTTGTTGACATATAATAAAATTAAAATGTGTCTTTGTAATTAATTTGTTATATATTTCATTCAATTGCATTGATAGATTCTCTCAATTCGTGATAAAATATAAATTTTTAGGTTAGGGGTGTTTGTTTACTAATCACATTTTACATTTTAACAACATTATTAAACAATATCCAGTATGCATGTTATTAAAAAAGATATAAAATATATATTTTAAGTGGGAATTACCGCAGCAGTAAAAGATTTCAAGTTAGTAAACAAACACCCCTAACCTGAAAATTTATATTTTATCACGAATTCAGAGAATCTATCAATGCAATTGAATCAAATATATAACAAAATTAATTATCAACACACATTTTAATTTTATTATATGTCAACAAGCGTTTTCCATGTTTAAAGTATGAATAAAATTAATGAGAGTGGAAACTAATTTTGTTCCCCATAAGAATAACATTGTGTCGTCTGTTTGTTGTCCCTCCAGGCCTCTGAGGTCCCACCTAGAATCGACTCTGATGTCACAAGTGACAGAGCCTAATCAATGACAGAGAGCATTCCAGATATATAGGCCTTTCTCCAATATGTTTGTAAATGTTTGCGTTGCGTGACTGACGGGTTGGTTCGCAAGCGCAGTGACGTCATCAAGGCCTTTCTCCAATAAGGCCTTTCTCCAATAGGATCCTAAACTCTTGCGTTGCGTATGCATTGCGTCGGTTGCTATTGGCAACCAATGCTAAAATCAACGCGTCAGTTACGCAACGCAAAAGTTTAGGTTCCTATTGGAGAAAGGCCTATAGGATCCTAAACTCTTGCGTTGCGTATGCATTGCGTCGGTTGCTATTGGCAACCAATGCTAAAATCAACGCGTCAGTCACGCAACGCAAAAGTTTAGGTTCCTATTGGAGAAAGGCCTTCAAAGCATTGATACCAATCGCGAACAAAAAGTTTGGTTTACATTCCTCTTATCGCTTTGTTCCAACTTTACAATTTTTAATGCATATGTTTCTCGACGGCTTTTAATAATTTTAATTATTTAAGATTTATAATTAAAAAATTCAGTGTCTTAAAATCATAAAACAAACTTTTTTTAATTTTTTAATTATAAATATTAAATAATTAAAATTATTAAAAGCCGTCCAGAAACATTTGCATTTAAAATTGTAATGTTGGAAAACAGGGATAAAAGGAACATAAACCAAACTTTTTGTTCGTGATTGGTATCAATGCTTTGATGACGTCACTGCACTTGCGAACCAACGTATCAGTCACGTAACGCAAACATTTAGAAACATATTGGAGAAAGGCCTTTATAGAGTTCAGTGGTCTACATTGGTACACATACATATCTGTATTTGTAACATATTATATTAATAAACTATATTTTAATATAATAATATTATTATCATATATCACACTTATAAATGTGAACGCGTGACGTCACAATGTTATTAAGGCCTTTCTCCAATAGGTTTCCTAAATGTTCGCGTTGCGTACACGTCGCATTGGTTCCCATGTAGTTTAGCGTTGGTGACGTCATACGTCTACGTTTACGAATGCTCTTAGGTTCCTATTGGAGACGCTCCATGAATGGGGATGCGTCTGCGTTTCCATTCTGGAATCGACCCCAGAATACGGGTCGGCGCGATGAAGGTACGGTCACACGACTTTTGGAAAAACCATTCTTGTCTTTCTCTCTCCTAAGACAGAGACATAAGATTGTCTCACTCTGCATTTTCTTACATTTCCCAAAGACGGAAAACGCAGAGTGAGACAAACTTATGCGTCTGTCTTAGGAGAGAGATAGACAAGAATGGTTTTTCCAAAAGTCGTGTGACCGTACCCTGATAGCGACGAGTCGGTCTTATGGGACATCAATGGGAGAGACAAAGATAGAATGATACGTCGACGTTCAGAAACCACTTATTCTGGACTCTCCCTCAAGGCCTTTCTCCAATAGGTTTATATATAGAGTTCAGTGACGCGTGTACTTAGTGTTTTAAAATTCTCGGTAAAATTGAAACCTGAGAATGTAAGAAAGAAAATTGCGGTAAATTACCGAAAAAAAGAGAATTTATGAGAATATTCATTTAAGTGATTGATAATTGCCTTTTTTAAATTTAAATATGTATTTTTATAGTATGTAAGTTATAAATAAACGACCGACATGTTATTAAATGAATAATTTGAACAATGAATATAATAGACTGTAAGGGTGCAGTCCCATGGAGCAGATTAGCAGAATAGATTTCAGCCAATCAAAAGTTAGTCTCTCGCGGCAAATTTTGCATTTCCGTTAGAGACTGTTTTTTTATTGGTCAACGTCTAATCTGCTAATCTGCTCCATGGGACTGCACCCTAATTTTCTCTGTGTTCTTACTGACAAGATGACAGTCGGGTATATATGCCTGCACTTTTATCATTGTCTAACACGTGCGTCGTCATGGCAACATGTGTGTTAGACAAGGATAAAAGTGCAGGCATATAAATGTACCTGATTCAATATAATAATGTAATATTATATCAATATTAATATATTAATATATATATTATATATTGTAACAAAGATATTTTTCATTATAATAATAATTGTACAGTCAGGAACATATGTCTGTACTTTTATCCTCGTCATACACGTTGTCATGACAACGCACGTGTCAGACAAGGATAAAAGTACAAGTAAAAATTCTCATAAATTCTCAGAGAAAAAACGATCCGGTAATTTACCGGTAAATTACCGTAATCTTCTTTCTCTTCTTGACGTAATTTACTGTCTTTAGAACACTACGTGTACTTTCAGTAGTAATTTTCAAATTTTTATCAATTTTTAATTTTGAATCCTAATTCCCCAAAAAAGGTTACTAGAAACGGACGCCAGCCGTCACAGCTGTTTTGGGACTGCGGCCTGAGAATTTATTATGCGTTAGCCTTAACTTGCAAGTATGCAGAAACTCCCAATTCGGAAACGGACAACATTTGTTTTCTGTGTATACGTCTGATGGTAGACCAATAACGTGAAACCACGATTGCAATGATATTAAAAGACGATGTGGATGATGGTTGTTTACAATTTTACACAACTGTTCAATTTTCGACGTCAAGATAGATTTCACTTCTAATTGTGAATTTTCTTCAAAATTTTGGATTTTAGTATCACTTGTTAGTTCTATCGCTAAATTTTTTTTTGAAGGAAGATATGTTTTACTGTGCTATATTGTTAATTTTATTAGATATAGTTTTTGATGGTTTGTATTATTAACCTTTTTAAGATTATACAATAATTAACGAAAAATATATGTTATAATGTTTATCAGTATAAGGCAATGCATTATTTTTTAAAAGACCTAAATAAATTAGATATATTCAGGAATAAAAAATTGCAATTTGTTTTATTATTTTATTATAGTTTGAAATAGTGACGTTTAAAATTTTAGCACACAAATTCAGTAATTAAATTAAAATGTAGTCATTAATTGATAAACTGGCTACTGTATACAGAGGTGTACATTTTTTAATATTTTTTATAATTATGGTGTTATAAGTCACTATTTTTCTGATATATTTTTTTATCTTAGCTGTTGGTGGAGTAAGTCAGTCGGAAGTTGATAAGCATTCAGATCTCGGTAAAGAATTTCTTGCTCAAGGAAAACTACAAGAGGCTCTTACATATTACCATGCAGCCGTAGGTATGTTCGTTTGCATATAGCATTTCTATTAATATTTATTGTTAAAAGTAGTAAAAAAATTTAAGCTTTATTTTCATTTTTATGTTATACACTCGATAAATTGAATTTCAAGGGGATTCAAAAAAAGTTCAAGTTTTATTTATCGACAGTTTTAATTTTCGAGAGAAAGGCAAGAAAAATTCAAATGAACAAGTTCTACACCTAAAGAAAATATATATATATTAAATTTTAATAAGTACAGTAAAAATTTTAGTAAATAATTTTCAATTTTCGTATGTTAACACTTTTTCCCGAAATTGAAAAATATTTACTATACTTATTAAAACTTAATATATATTTTCTTACAGTGTAAATAAAAAAGTCAGTCCAAATAGCACTTAATATTCGTGCAATGTTGCCAATGTTGCAGTGTAATATTACTGCAATATTGCAGCAATGTTTAAATGTCTTGTTTGCTGAAATATTTCGTGACAATGTTGCTGCAATATTTCTTGGTAATATTTAAGGAACATTGCGTAATTTTTCAGTAATATTTCTGCAATGTTAAAATAATTTTTTAGGCCTTTGAATCGAAGTTATAAAAATAAATTTAAAATTATAATCCAATGCATAATATTTTGAAATACCTACATTTAAAGCAATGTGAAAAATAAAAAGTTGTTTTATTCAGGAAATGCATTAAAATTTTTTAATATATAAAAAAAAAAAAACTTTTTTAATTTCTAACTTCATATTCAACAAATTTACTTTTCTGGAACCTAATATTGCGAAGACAATTTTGAAAACAAATTGAAGGGACCGGGGATAGAACCCGGACACCGCGCGCCGAAGATACACTACCGTCCGAAATTGTGCGAACGCTTACACCGCGAGTCATTGAAAAACATACTCGCGAGAAAATAAAGATAACTCTGAGAGAAATTAACGTAAAGACTTTTCCCTTATAGCGTTGGAAAGCTTATAAAATTTCGAAAAAAAATGATACCTATTTGAATGAGATTGCTTAAATAGGTTTAAATATATCATGTTATAAAGTTGAAAAAATAATTGTAATTTTTTGCTTATTTCCTACCTTGACTTTAACCTCTTGCATGGTCCAGGAAAATCGACGAAAAAAATTGTCCTTTAACATAATTATTCCTTGAAATCTAAGCTTTCCATTGACTCCAAGAACAATAAAAAATGTTGACGGGTTTGCCAGTAATTGAAAAAAAGGACGAGCGTGCACGAAAAAAAATTCGACCGTCAATCGCTCGATTTTCCCGTCTCGCTGCCTCTTTCGTTCGTGCGCCAGGGCCGAAACAGAGAATTTTGATTAGGCGCTTTCCGGGCACCATTAATTTCATTATTTTTGCCTTTTTGTGAACATAAATTATTTGTATAACGCGAAAGATATCATAATTGTGTTATAAGATAATTATACAGTTATTAAAATTAAATAAATGTAATAAAACTTATATATTTCATTATTAAAAAATTCAATTTGACCAACGAGGTTTTTGATTCTTAATAATAAATTGTTTAATGATTATAACTATATATTAATTCTTACAAAACTTTAATTGTATAATTATTTTATTATGAGTGATTAAAAAATTAATATCTTTATGTATGTGAAATATTTTAAAAATGAAATATATAAGTTTTATTACATTTATTTAATTTTAATAACTGTATGATTAACTTATAACACAATTATGATATCTTTCGCGTTATACAAATAATTTATGTTCACAAAAAGGCAAAAATAATGAAATTAATGGTGCCCGGAAAGCGCCTAATCAAAATTCTCTGTTTCGGCCCTGGCGCACGAACGAAAGAGGCAGCGAGACGGGAAAATCGAGCGATTGACGGTCGAATTTTTTTTCGTGCACGCTCGTCCTTTTTTTCAATTACTGGCAAACCCGTCAACATTTTTTATTGTTCTTGGAATCAATGGAAAGCTTAGATTTCAAGGAATAATTATGTTAAAGGACAATTTTTTTCGTCGATTTTCCTGGACCATGCAAGAGGTTAAAGTCAAGGTAGGAAATAAGCAAAAAATTACAATTATTTTTTCAACTTTATAACATGATATATTTAAACCTATTTAAGCAATCTCATTCAAATAGGTATCATTTTTTTCGAAATTTTATAAGCTTTCCAACGCTATAAGGGAAAAGTCTTTACGTTAATTTCTCTCAGAGTTATCTTTATTTTCACGCGAGTATGTTTTTCAATGACTCGCGGTGTAAGCGTTCGCACAATTTCGGACGGTAGTGTACAGGGTAAGTGTATCAATTACTGCTGGTGCTTCAATTACTGCGATTTCTATAAAATTAGTAAAATTTACAGTCAATTAGTCAACCTAACCTCTAGTAATTGGTGCATACGATGCGCAGTGATTCATGCAAACTTGCAGTAATACCTGCATATGCCATTTTTAAAAAAGTTAATATTTTTAATAATATATTTGTTTTTTTAAAAGTTTAAAGTATCGTTTCTATTTCAATAGACATTAAAGTGATTTAACAAAAAGATATAATTCATTATTTCATTTACACTTCTATTATTTTATCATTAAAGTCGGTTTTAGATTGTACATCACAGTAGTTGGGACATTTACCCTAAACGAAGCAACCTAACCAACTAACTTAAACAACGAACTGCAAATGATAATTTAAATTTGATTTTACATTTTATGTAACATATTTATTATATTTTGCTTGTTTATAATATAGTTATCGTTTTATTTTAATTTCACTTTTATAAATATTTATACTCGTTATATATTTTTATATATTTGTTGAAATGACGAGCGATTATTTAAAGTAATATATTAACCTCTTCAGTGTGTGAGAAAAATATATTATGGTCCTAAAATGTTTAAGTAATTGTGGTTGACGAATTTTACAATTGTTATATTAACAATAATTAATAAATATTTAATTAATTATTGCAATAATGGGTTTTAAATAATAAATTGTCATTATATTTGTTTTACACGATTGTATTGAATAAAATATTAAATACAGATTACACAGGCCAACAAAATTTGATTCAATTTACTTTCCAAGAATCAAACAATACTTTTCCGAGGGCTTTCGACGTGCTGATTCCGAATCCGGCCTCAGAATTCACTCTGCACGTCAGGTTCTCGAGATATTCTAACCTTAATGTGCAAAAAACCAGTTTTTTAACTGCATTTGAGGTCATGCAACATCAAGAGATAATTTTTTTCCCAAAAGATCAATATGGCATCTGAAAGTGCTATTCTTCCCCTTTAAAACCCATTTTGAAAATTTAAAAAACTTCATTTGTCTCTGAGTAATCGTTCATTCAATTTTCTGAGTATGGCGCCCTACTGAAAATCCCTGTACAAGATCTTGTACAATTTCCTGTACAGGATGAGCAACTGAACTTGTACAAGTTCTGACCAGTTCCTGTACAGGAAAATGCATACGAATTTGGAACAAGTTCATGTGTGAGATCTTGTACAAGATCTGGTGCAAGATCTTGTACAAGAAAGATGCTTGCACAAGAAAATGTTCATGTACAATTTCATGTATAAGTACTTGTACATGAACACGTCCATGTTCTTGCACATGTTAATTCATGTTTTTCTTTACTAAAAATTAAAAACTTCAAAGGCTGCGCAATAGTTTACTTTAACCTTTACAGCTGCGCAATAGTTTTTAGCATGCATGAGTTACGAATCTTAGTGGTTAAAAATTATCAAAATCTCAAATTTTATTAAAAAAAAAAATTTTACAACTATTTCATGTGCAAGAACATGAACGTGTTCATGTACAAGTACTTATACATGAAATTGTACAAGATCATGTACATTATCTTGTACAAGTATCTTTCTTGTACAAGATCTTGCACCAGATCTTGTACAAGATCTCACACATGAACTTGTTCCAAATTCGTATGCATTTTCCTGTACAGGAACTGGTCAGAACTTGTACAAGTTCAGTTGCTGATCCTGTACAGGAAATTGTACAAGATCTTGTACAGGGATTTTCAGTAGGGCGAATTCTTCGATATTTAAAAAAATCGTTCGCCATATTGAATCCATTATGAATTTTGAAAATCTGTCATCGAATTTCTGTTCAGCGACCCCAAAAACCCTCGAGTAACAAATTACGAGCAAATACAATCGATTTTCAAAAAATCATCATATTAGATCCGCAATTTTGAATTTTGAAATTCTGACATCGAATTCGTGTTCAGTTATACCGAAAATGTGCAGAACTATTTGAAAGTTAGATGTTTGTAGTAATATTCTTATGTATTATCGAAGTTTTATATGTTCCTATTCAGTTTTTAAATATCGAAGAATTCGACATTCTCAGAAAATTGAATGAACGATTACTCAGAGACAAATGAAGTTTTTTAAATTTTCAAATTGGGTTTTAAAGGGGAAGAATAGCACTTTCAGATGCCATATTTATCTTTTGGAAAAAAATTATCTCTTGATGTTGCATGCCCTCAAATGCAGTTAAAAAACTGATTTTTTGCACATTAAGGTTAGAATATCTCGAGAACCTGACGCACAGAATCAATTCTAAGGACGGATTCGGATTCAGCACGTCGAAAGCCTTCGGAAAAGTATTGTCTGATTCTTGGAAAGTAAATCTTGTTGGCCTGTGTTATAAGAAGATTTTAAGAACGATAAAAAATTATATTTTAATTATCGGAAAAAGATCAGAAGGTTATGTTTTGAGGTTAGTTTTGTATTAATTAGTTTTGAAGAATAAAGAAAATTTCTTACCATTTCAAAATTAAAAACATATATTATTAAAAGCATTTTTTTTCTTTTAAGGACAAATTTTTAATTGATTTTTCAATTTAATTAAAGAAACAATTTTTTGGAAACACATTTTTCGAAAGAAATGTGTTTCTGTTGACAGAAAAATTAGTCAAATAGGTTGGGTTGTGTAGTGAAATGGATTGCTTAGTGGGTTGCCGGTAAAGTAAGTAAAGAAGGAATTTACAAGCATCACAGTTAGTCCCCT